GCCGGGAGTGGCCACTGCACTCCAGTCTGGGCGACAGAGTGAGACTCCAACTCAACAACAACAAAAAAAAGAATCTGTTCTGCATGGTTCATTCCATTGCACTTTTATTTGTGATTTCTCTTTCTAATTTAAGCCTTAGTGTCAAGGGCATGCTACTTGTGCTTCATTTTCCATGGAGATGGTGCTGATCTATGCCAAAAGTCTGGGATGTATGCACCACTTATATGTGAGTTTTCTGATTGAACCAGGCTTAATTAGATTCTCTTTTCTTTTGTTGTCTCTTTAAAAACTTGGAAACCATTTTGTTGTTCCTGGGTTCTAAGGCTTAACATGTTTAGTTAAGTAAATCTGTTGGGATCTAATCTGTTATCTACTCTGGTCTTATTAACCAAAAGTTTTAAAAGTCTCTTGTTGAGTGGATTCCATTGTTGTTGACCAAATGTTTCAAGATGTAGACACAAGCCACTTTTGTCAGTTTTTCAAGTAAGTGTAGTGTAATTTTGAAGTAACAGTGTACTTTTCTCCTTTAAAAGAATAAAAAACACAGGAGTGGCAAGTTTAATAAGGTCACGTTTATCTTGCTTCTTTGTAAATTTCTGTTACCCATCTGGTTTACTTGGAAGCAGTGATGAACTTGACTTATGTGACTGTTCTATCTATAAGAGACAGCAATAATTTTCTATTCATATAAAGCAACCAGCTAACAGTTGTTATAGATATGTAAAAGGATATGGATTTTTAATGGATATGTAAAAAGGAGATGCAGTTCCTTCCAGATTATTCTTAGCTCTTCTTCCTATCTAGCAAAGCAGAGTTTGTATTTATCCAAGCCTCTACTTTTATATTATATACCTGCCGTTGATGCATACTAGCTTGCAGATAAATCAAAGTTAAGTTCAGAGAAATTGGCTGGAAGAATTCTTAAGTAGTGTAAATATTATGATATACACAGAAGCCAATCTCCTGTAGTCAAAGTTGATATTAAAAAGTAGAATCATCTTAATTCATAATAGTATAAAAATGAGGCAATTGAAATTAGCAGGAGATCTATCTGGGACAGCCTTGTAATCAGAGCCGTGTCTCAGAGACAGCTCGGCCCATGACTGTTCACAGATGTGGAGGTGTTAAAGACCCAGTACAAGTCCTGCTAATGCTGTCCATTTGTATTGAGTCATTGCACATGCTTCCGATCCCATCTGTACTTTTTCATAGGGACGATACATCCTTCCTAGAATTTAAGGGAACTGAATATGAAAAGTAACTACCAAAATTTCCTTTGACTTTGGAGATACAAACCCTGAAAGGTAAGCAGAATTACTGTTCCTATTTTATAGATTCAGAAACTGAAGCTTGAGAAAAGTAATTTGCATGAAATCACACATGACTTCTTGGCTGAGCTGCAAGTAAACCTGGGCCTCTGGCTTCCCAAATTAGTGTTCCTTTCACTGATCCATGCTGTCTTCACTTATCCATTCAATCAGTAAATGTAATTGAAGGGATTCTAATTAGTTTGACTCCTAAAGGCTTTTGTGGTTGTTGTCAGACTGGCAACAAGGTTGGTTTTTTTCCCTCTAGCTTTTGAGTTGTGGCCAAATTTTGTCAGTCAGTTATTTCACAGTCTTGAAGTCATCACATTGATGGCAAGATTATTTGAATGTCTGTTTATCTATGTAATAAACATGCCTTTGTAGTGCAAATTAGAAACTGTTATAATGTACCAAATACACAGATAGTTATTAGAAATAGAACAGTTGTGGCCAGTATGGTAGTGACGTTCCAACTATTATTATCATTGTGTGTTTTTTCTGGGCCTGTGAGCTTTGACACTACTTTCCTATATAATTGAGGGGTTAGCAGTATTCTGGCAATCCAGGAATCCCAAGAAGCAGATGCTAGGGATGCGGGGGGCTGATTGGCCACCCCATGCACTTGGCAGTTGCGTGAATTGGCACTGCCAATTCATGGGCTTGAGAAACTTGGAGATGTGAAGCACCCTTAGATCTGTGAGCTAATTGTTGGTGCCCTTCAGGGCACCTCTAAAAAAGTTATGTGGACAGAAATCAATTTCTTTCAGTGAAAGAGGCACAAGCTATTTTACATGGCCCATTTGAACACTGAATAGAATTTATTAATTCCCAAGAGGGAGTCTGAAATTAGATGCTTACTGATGTCCCTGGAAGGTCTAGAAAGATGGAGCAGCAATAGAAGGAAAGACCACTGAGAGGTATGCTGTTTCATTGTGTTTACTTCATAGAGATAAACAAATGGGGCTCTCTATGTAACCTGTATTTTTTATATAGTCCAGGAGTAGAGGGTTATGACTACTGCCACTTTTTCTTATCGTTTTACTGAGCTGCATTTTTTTTTTTTTGAGTAAACCTGAACTGTTTGCCAGGAAATAGTTGCCTCTTTTTGAATCTCAATATATATGTGGGCGTAGGAAAGGTTTTCTTGTAACTTAAGCATTTCTTTGTAATTTGATGGAAACTTTTTAAATTTTCAGAATTATTTGTGGCAAATCTTCATTATAAAAATATACAGGTTGTAAGTATCTCATTGTAAAATGCGGCATTGTCTTTAGAATGAAACATTGAAAGAGAGAATATCTTTTTTTCAAATTTTAGGGTCTATGATGTTTTATAATATAATTTCTTACCCTGTGAATACATAGTATGCTAGGATACTTGATTGCTTGAGATTTTAAAGAATGACTTATGAAATTGCTTTTTGTTAAAGCTGCATTTATCCTGAATTTGATTTAGAAACTAATAGTCTCTTGTGGAAAATTGAAATGTAATTACTTCTAGCTCATATATTTAGATTATACACTGTTTCTGGCTTCTTGTTTTGTCACTTTCATCAAATGCACATAAGAGATAAGAAAGATAATGTTATGTAAACTTTTACCACATGAAAAGCAGAGGCATTCTCATTCTTAAGATGCTTACATGCCACTTCACATTTTCTAGTACAAAATATGATTTATATACATAAATCATTCTGGAGAGCAATCCACAGTTATTTGCCTGAGAGTCCTTTGTCTTTTTTTTAAATGAAGAGAGAAAAACCTTTAGAGAAGATTTTGTGACTGTTGGGACAATGGTTTCTTTCTATTAAAGGAATATTTGTGTCAAGGAGTAAGCTCCTGGTCTCTTCTGACTTCTTTGGTTTCCAACTGGCTGGCCAGGTGTATGAAGCTGTGTGTATGAGAGAGAGTGAGCTAGGGGTGGGGAGTGTGAGTGAGAATGTGTCCATCCATGCATGTGCATACACAAACAGGGTAGATAGAGCAGATTTCCTTTATAGTATGTTCAGATCATTATAAAACCAGAAATGAAGGTTGAGAGAGTGCCTTTATGCCTAGTCTTATCTCTCTCTTGTATATGTAGTTTCTGGTATGAGTTCTGGTAGTGCACGCTGTCAGCCTTCTTGGTGTTACTCACAGTCACTGTAGTAAATGTTCATGTCCTTGTCCTGACCTTTTCCTTTCTGAAACCATCTTATTTATTTGTTTGTTTATTTATTTGTGCTTGGAAATACAGACTGGGGAGCATAGTAGTGATTGGGGGCTTGCTATTTTGCTAGGGGATTTTGCTGCCCACCAAATTACTATTGAATCCTATAACTGAGTTACCAGCTCTGTTGTACTAGAGTATTTTTCTTTGTCAAAGCATATACTAGAAAGCATGCTGTTAAGAATGCCTGTTGGAAGAACCCATGAGAAATGTGTCTCTTCCCAGGACTATTGGGTTTTGCCTTGTCCCCTCAGCTCCCTTCACACTTCTAAAAATAAAAGATAGATTTGATTTCACACAAATGCATCTGTATGTGTATAAAGATGTGCCTTTATTTTGGGCAGTAAAGTTTTTGGGTGTCTGTCATTTGGAAACAAGGATTAGTTTTTATGCACGATCACTGTTATAGACATGCATAAAAAATGGATCCTATTGGTGCTCTAGAAACTGCTGATATTTTAATTTAAATAATGTGCCTTTGCAATTTTTTTTAAAGGTAGTATCTTCCCCAGCAGATGTAGCTGAAAAAGCTGACAGAATTATAACAATGCTACCTACCAGTATGAATGCAATAGAAGCTTATTCTGGAGCAAATGGAATTCTAAAGTATGTATTTCTCAGCTGTGGATATTTTCTTGTTATGATAGTTCATGAATTTCACATTTGTTAGAAGTATTAGGAAATTACAATTATGTTTTTTAAACCTTTCTATACTGTTTTCTTATTTCATAAAGTGAATAGTGTGGTTTGTTTCTCATTGTAGAGGGTTTAGTTTTCCACTGAAGTCAAGTATGTGACTTTTGGGAATACATTTTTTGGGTTCTGTTTCTTTCCTTTAACTCTTGCATTAAACTTACCCTTTCACTGATAATATGCTTAAGGGACTCTTAAAGCTTGCATTTTAAACTGTACAACTATTACAAATATAATTTTCTTATAGTTTATAGAAATTCAGAAAAAGGATCTTATGAAAAATAAAGCCAAACACTGGAAAGAACACTGTTATTTAACATTTTATTATATAATAAAAAGTTATTGTATGTCCTCTGGGTTAGTACATCTGTAGTAAGGACTTTGGGAAGTTGGAATTAAAGGTTAGCAGTAGTTCTTTAAGTAAAATATAATTTAGGTCAGAGTTTCCAAGCCAGTGCTTAGCTTCTCTGGCTCTGAGAAACTTTTGGTTAATTGCTGCTTATTGCCAAACCCTTGCGGTTATGTTAGAATGACAGTGGCTGAATTCTCAACTTAATTTTCTGGTCTTACTGGTTTCTATTTCTCATTTATTTTGTTGTTGAATTTCAGGAATGAGCTAGAACAAACTGATATGACCTGTAGACACATAAAGGACTTAAAAGAAAATTTAATTTCAGAAAACTATAATACATGAAATTTGAGGTTTTTGGAAATTCAATTGCTTTGGAAACAAACGGACTTGGAAGCAAAAGTCACTTGGATATTAGACAGAAAACTGATAAGATAAATGTTTAGGTTTCAGGGATGGTTGAAAGACATTCATTTTGGATACAGCCCTTAGACCCAAATGTGTGTGGTCCTCAGGCATCCTAGCTGTCAGATATGGTCCTGCTTTTTTACCTCTCAAGGAAAAGCTACTAGAAATTTGTAAGGAGACATAACCCTTCATTTATTAATATTCTTTGCTAAGAATATGGTGCCTAGCTACCAGAATAGTTTTGTCCAGGGAGTGCTTTGAAAGAGTTTGGTTTTACACTAAACTTAATTTACTTCTCATGGGTGGTTCTTTATTTTTTTCTGGGTCAGAATCATTTCTACACACCTAGTACATGTATAATTTTTGAGATTATTTCCCATTTGTTTATGATTTAATATCTTAAAAGTATTAAGGCCACAGAAGATTGACAAACTTAATTCTTATTTTTTTGATTACACAAAGTGAAACCTACACACTAAAGTGATCTCTAACAGAGTAGTATGCTATTTCTCTTCTGTGAAATATACTCACACATCACATTCAAACTGTAACAATTCATGTCTGAAATTATGAAGACATTTTATAGCTATTTTTCTTTTTAGTAGTTTTTGTCAATTATTTTTTTATTTTCTCCTTCAATATTTATATTTATTCAGTTATAATTTTTAAATCATGATTCTGGGTCCTCTGAACTAGTACATCTGTAGTAAGAACTTTGGAAAGTTTCAATTAAAGGTTAGTCATCGCCTTTTAAATAAATTATAATTTAGGTCAAAGTTTCCTAACCAATAAAGATAGACAACAAGGGAAACTTGTTACCTTACAGATAACAAGGGAACTATGTAGGTATATATTCTGTACTTACAGTACAAATAAAAATGTTTTACCATAAGGATGTCATTTAAATATTGATGGCACATGAAAAGACTGCTTTCTTCTTTACCAATGTATGTATGTTTACCATAGAGAACAAAAAATCTTTGTGAGATTTCCAGATTCATTCATATGTTTTCTTTGCTACCTGTTTGAGATTTTATTTTGCCACTGAAAAGTTATCGTTATAAAAGAATATGCTATCCTGAAGCCAGTGGCTAGATTTCAATTGCTTATGTTTGTTTTACTTAGTGGAAATGACATGGATACATAAAATTTGTAAGATGACTTGCTAAAGACAAATACATTACTTTTTAAAGATTCAGCTACTTTACAAACAAAAATTTAAGTCCTGTCAAGCACCCTTTTAAAGTTAATAGTTGTTTTAAATTGCTTATATCTTAGCTTATGATTAGTGTGTAGTTCACCTGAAACCAGAATTTATATTATGTAGTTTATTAGATTTTCTTGGTTTGTTTCAAGGAGTTTAGATTTACTTTGAACTATAATTGATCTGAAAATCAGTATGAAATTGTTGAACCTGTTCTAACTAATAATGTTTTTAATACTAAGCTAAAACCTCCTTGCCTTGATATCTAACAGTTTTAGCAGATTCTGATTCTATAGGTAGTTGCATGAAATGTTTACTCAGAGTTGTAAACTATAAATATTTTTATTTATTTACTTAGAAAAGTGAAGAAAGGCTCATTATTAATAGATTCCAGTACTATTGATCCTGCAGTTTCAAAAGAATTGGCCAAAGAAGTTGAGAAAATGGGAGCAGTTTTCATGGATGCCCCTGTTTCTGGTGGTAAGTGATAGCTAAAATATGTGCACACCTATTCTTCTTTGTTAGAAGTAGCAATAATTGTTTTGTGATACTCAGGTTATTCCAATTATTTTTAGACCTGTTACAGGAGTCTCACTCTTTCATTAAAAATAAAAACAAAGCAAACTAACGCTATTTATTACTTTCAAGATACATTCCTGGTTCTAAATTCAGATAAAGGGGTTTCACAACTTTGAAGTGTTAGGAATTTTTTGAAGTCCAGTTACTGTGGATAAGGATAGATCTGTTCCTAGAAAATTTAAATATTCAGAATTAATTAAAAAAACAATTAGCTTAAAGAGTCCTATAACTGTTAAATAAATTGAACAAGTGATAAAAAAAGAAAAAAATTATTTCACAATGGAAACATTAGGCCTATGTAATTTTACAGATAAGTGTTACCAAATTTTTAAAAAGCAAATCATCTAAATTGTATATGAACTTTTCCAGACAATAGAAAAAGAGGAAATACTCCCCAACTCCATTCTATAAGACCTGTGTAGCTCTGATACAACAGGCAGAAATATTATGAGGGAAAAAATTATATATAGGTCTATTTCAGCCATAAATATAGAAGTAAAAATTATTTTAGTTTTTTCTTTTTGTATTGGGGTCTCATTCTGTCGTCCAACCTGGAGAGCAGTTGCAAAATCACAACTCCCTGCATACTCGACTTCTTGGGCTCAGGTAATCCTCCTGCCTCAGCCTTCCAAGTAGCTGAGACAACAGGCATGTACTACCATGCCCAGCTAATTTTTTTAGGTTTTTTGTAGAGATGAGGTCTTACTATGTTGTCCAGGCTGATCTTGAACTCCCAGGCTCAAGCAATCTTCCTGCTTTGGCTTCCAAAACGCTGGGATTACAGGCATGAGTTATCATGTCTGGCCAAAGTTAAAAACTTTTAAATAAAAGTAAATTAGCAAACTGAATCCAATCATGTATAAAAGAGATAAAAAACTATAACCAAATTTCATTTAACCCATATGTGCAGATGGCTTAATATTAGGACGTCTGTAAATATAATTTATCATATTAATATACTTAAAAGTAATCAGATTGTTTTAATAAGAGGAGGTGAACCACTGATGAAATTCCAAAAGCCTATTATTTTATCAAATATTGATAGCAGATATCAGCTGGGTGTGTTATCTCACGCCTGTAATCGCAGCATTTTGGGAGGTGGAGGTGAGAGGATTGCCTAACTAAGCCCAGGGGTTCGAGACCAGCCTGGGCAACTTGGTGAGACCTCGTCTCTATAATAAATAAAAAAATTAGCCAGGCATTGTGACGCGTGCCTGTAGTTCAAGCTACTTGGAAGGCAAAGATGGAAGGATCACCTGAACCCAGCAGGTGGGTGCTTCAGTGGCTGTGAGCATGCCGCTGCACTCCAGCCTGGGCAACGGAGTGAAACTCCAACTAAAAAAAAGGCAGGTATTTTGGAGTGGCAGGATTATAGGTATGGTGTGCTGTAATTTACATATTGTCCAAATCGCTGTGTGATCAAAATTACTGTGTACATAAATATTTATGCATTTGTAGCAGCAGTATAGTAGTAGCTGGCAGAAGAAGAATTTCTTTCCAGTTATATTAAACTTGATTGGGACTTCAGGATTAAAAAATAAAATATAATTTAAATCAGTTTCTATTTTTTCATAAAGAACTTGATGATCTTGTTATAAAGGTATCTTATATCCCAAAATATTTTTGAATATAAGTGGAGTATTAAAAAATTGTTAGCATTTTTATTATGATATTGAATTGGTTAAATAGGATTTAGGTGTAAAGATTTACAATGTGGTATAGGCATTTTGATTATAAAATTCTAATAAGCAGTTTTAAGCTTGGTGTTAGTGTGGTTTTTTATGGGATGGAATTAATAGAATGAACAATTCTTTCTTAGAGTGGTTCTGCAGTTAAATTTGAAAATTGGTTTAGTACATCTGATCTTGCCATTGATCTTCTTTTGTTTCAACAGGACAGTCTGAAATTATCATTTGATAATAAAAATACCAATTTGATTTTTAAATATTAATCTTTAAAATAGTCTTATTTGTGAGAAAGCTTTGAAATTTCTCTTTTATGTTTTTTAATTTTGTTTTGTTTTGTTTGAGTTGGAATCTCACTCTTGTTGCCCAGGCTGGAGTGCAGTGGCATGCTCAATGCCACCGCAGCCTCGACCTGCTGCTTCTATCTCAGCATTCCAAATAGCTAGAACTATAGACACACGCCATCATGCCTGGCTAGTTTTTGTGATTTATTGTAGAGATGAGGTCTCACCAGGTTGCCCAGACTGGTCTTGAACCCCTGGGCTTAGGCAATCCTCTTGTCTTGGCCTCCCAAAGTGCTAGGATTACAGGCTGAGCCACTGCACCCTGCCTCTCTCTTTTGTTTTTATCAAGCTATTTTTAAGTCTTGGTTTGTAGTTTTAGGGTGCAAAATGCTAATATAACTGTGAATGCATCTGCACCATATTATAGATTAAAAGCTTTGTGCAAGGATGGTTTGTGATAGTTTATTGGTTGACACAGGATCATCATGAGGTTAACCAGTATATAATAGCAGATTATTTGTATTAGTCTTCTCATTGTTGTTACCTTTATATTTTTAATGTAAAATTATTATATTTTAAATTAAAATCATTATATTTTAGCTAAACAAAGGTAAATAATTTTCAGTTGCCCATTGTGTGTGACCAATACATAGAAACAATGGGAGTTGCAGCGGAGAAAGAGTTTAATAATTGTGGGGTAGCTAAATGAGAAGATGAGGGGAAATCTCAAATCCACTTTCCTGAGGGCTTGGGGATGAATTTTAAGGGGTCTGGACAGGTGATGGGCTAAAGTGTGGAGACTGCTGATTGGTCGAGAAAGGAGGAGTGAAGCCATGGGACAGAGAGAAGAAACTGCATTACTGTGCTCAGTCAGTTCCTCAGTAGGGTTCTTTAGACTGGTTGGCATCAGCTGTTGTGCTAGAATCCAGGATTTGAAAAACACCATAAGCAGTACTTGAGTAAAAAGGTCTAGTAACAGAGATTCTATCTATAGGACGAATGGTGGTTAGCGTGCTATGCAACTCAGTTAGGAGCTGCAGGGAAGTGGGTGGAAGTGTACCAGTGTACCCTAGTCAATTCCTAACTGTAAGTCTTCCTAAAGTCTGACTTGTAATTTTTGTTAACCCTGTGAGGGCAATTTCCAAAAGGATGTGTGAAAAACATGGCTTAGATATCCAAGATAGGCCCATGATTTTATAGAAGGTCTCTTTCATCAATCTTGAAACATGGAATATTTGAGATCATTTGAATAACCTTAAAAATCCTCCCACCCCTTAGCCCTTTCTCCCAAGTCTTCATCTATTTCCTATCTTGGGCTTTAAAAAAATGCTTTTATATGGATTTGTATACAGATAAATACAAATCTAGTAGCATTTAAAAGTGTAAATGGCAACATATTAATTCTGTGATTAGCATTTTATAGAATTTTTTTAACTCAGATGAACTTTAAATTCATCTGAGAATGAATATAGATTTTTGTGAAGTGATTGGTTTTCTCATTCCTGTGTTTTCCCCTACTTCCTGCTAAGTATTATTCTGGGGAATAAAATAAGAATCATTACTGTATCATTTTACTAGCCTATAGATTAGCAGGTTAAAGGTTTTCTCCAGGTTTCATTTTATGTTTATCAGACCCACCTGCGTACATTATCCTTATTATAAATAATACAGTTTTATGTAAGTGCTACATGACTTTTTAAAAAAATCAAAAGCAAATGATGAATAAACAGTTATGCTTGTCATCCTTAAAGCAGTGTGGATATCTATTTTAATACTTGTATAGTGATCATTTTATTGTATAGATATTAACTTTGTAAAGTACTTTGGCATGCCTCAGCCTATTTGGTGCTTCTTTTTGAAACTAACTGTATGTGTCTTTACCAAAGCCCATGTTACACTATATTTATTGACATTGATTCTCTTCCCTTTAAGTTTAAACTATTTGAGTGCAGGAAGTAAGTCTTTTCCCCCCAATTGTTATTTATTAGATATTGAGGATATATACACAATATTTATAACATATATGTTATAAAATACAAATATACACTGAGCTGATATGTACCTCTTACTCAGTTTAAGAAATAGACCTAGCCCGACTCAGTGGCTCAACCTGTAATCCTGCGCCTTTGGGAGGCTGAGGTGAGTGGATTGCCTGAGCCCGTGGGTTCGAGACCCGCCTGGGCAGTGAGACCTCATCTCTACAATAAATCCAAAAAATCATCTGGGCGTGGTAGCGCATGCCTGTAATTCCAGCTACTTGGAAGGCTGAGGCAGAAGGATCGCCGGAGCCCAACTGGTCGAGGCTGCGGTGGCCGGGAGCGGCCACTGCACTCCAGTCTGGGTGACAGAGTGAGACTCCAACTCAAAAAAAAAAAAAAGAAAAGAAATAGACCTTTCTGTGTATTACCTTTGACGTTTTTGATGTGATTCCCCTGATTTATTTTCTTTTCCCTCTGATTAGAGGTAACCAGATCCTGAATTTTGGGTCTTATTCCCATGCTTTCCTTCATCTTTTAATCCAATAGACTTTTATCTCTAAATAGTAGTTTATTTTCTATTATTAGAGCATTATCGAAATGGAATCATAATGAGCATCTTCTGTGACTTTTTCACTTTGTTATATTTCTGAGTTTCATCCATGATGTTAGTTGACTTACTCAGCGCCTTTGTGAGAATTAGAAAAAGTCACCTGCTGTGCACTGAAATAGCCCCTCAGGTGAATGGAAGGAATCTTTGAGTACAGAAAAAGGCTGTGGACAGGTGTATATGGTTTGGCAAACTGAATATAGATTGAATGTCAGCTGCTACTCACCCCCTTGGCTGGATGCCCATATGTAGTACATAAAATAGATTGCTGTTATATGGTTGTTACATGTAATTCATTAATTTTAGCTGCTCTGTGGTATTCTTCTATATATGGATATCACACTTC